CATTTGCCTAAACACAAACTAAGCTTATTGTAGAGGACAACATGCGACGTGCCTCGATACCCGTAGCCGCCCCTCAAAGTTCTGAACATGGTGTGCGTTACGCTCTTGATCATGTCCACTTCACTCCGTAAGTTTACTTACTGCATTGTCCCATCGACACACGAGAACTGTGTCTTTATTTTCAGGACGCAGGATGGTGTCGGAGTGCCGAACAGCAGCACTTCGGCGTTATTCTTCGTTGATCCGGTCAGCGGAGAGGTGAGCGCAAACCCGCAGCTCTCCGAGCAACCCCAAGGTGTTTACAGTGTCGTTGTGAATGCTGTTGACGCGAAATCGTCTGAGCCGTTGGAGCGCATCGTCAAGAAGGTCAGTCGCTCTTCACTCTCTTTATTGTCATGACAGTCATTAATATTTTTAGTTCCATTATGTAAAAGATGACATGAAGTTGCGCTACGTCTTCAGCATGAAACTGGAAGAGTTTGCCGCCAGTCGTGAGCAATTCTCCAAGTAAGAGTAGTCTAAGGCTGCGTTCATACTTTGCGGCAGCGTCCACCAGCGTTCCAAGCGTCGGCCATCAGTGACTAGGGAAATATTGATATCGATTTGCGTCTGCCAGCGTTCCCAGCAGCCAGCAGCGTCTCGAGGGCTAGGGTAGTGTAGCTATCGATTGGACGTCTGCCAGCATCTACCAGTGTCCATCAGCGACCAGCAGCGTCTGTAAGTGGAGAGTATGGCGCGATAGGAGAGTAGCAGACAGGTGGTACCTCCTATCGCGCCATACTTTCTACCAGCAGTCTGCTGCTGGTCGCTGGTGGACGCTGGCAGACGCTAGATCGATATCTATACTTTCCAGTCGCTGACGCTGCCGGACGCTCGGAATGCTGGTGAACGCCATTGGCCGCTGGTGGACGCTGTCGCAAGCTATGAACGCAGCTTAAGCGAATCAGGGCTGCATCATCGATTTGATGTGTTTAGGAAGCTGCAGGAAGCTCTCAAAGTAGACCATCCAGAAGGGAAGATGCAAGTGGTCTTTTCGGAGCCCAAGAGAGATATGCGAAACGGAACAAGGTCTGCTTATTGCTTCCACGATGGGTAATCCTCTCAATGAAAGTTCGCTTTCAGAACGTCGGTCTGTTTTCATGTGGTGATGAACGAGCAGGTGCAGAACGAACGTTCAGCCATTTCTGGCCCTGTCACAAACAACCGTGGAAAACAGCGAACTCTCACGGCTCTATCACACTTTCAACGTGGTCAACATCGAGGTTAGCATCCTCTGTCTAGCTCTACGCTATCCCTTTGAGGCTAGACTGAACTTCTTTCAGCGTTGCGAAGCGACCTCGTCGCCATTGGTCCGCCAGTCGAGCTTCCAGCTTCCAATGCAGGTTCTGCTGCTGATTGCTGGTGTGGCCCTCCTTATTGTTGTCCTCGTCGCCCTTCTCACTTACATCTGCTTTGTGCGGCGTTATAAGGAGCATTTACGCATGAAGCAGAAACAGATGAAAGGTGAGGTTAACAGAACCCTCTGAAATTCCCCATGATACCAGGAGTACATAAACTGTGAGTCCCGAGCAAAACAAGCGTTGCAAGCGGGTTCATTCGCATCAGGACCCAATCGGTTCAACTGGGTGTGTGTTGTGCCAAAACAACGAGCTAGAAAATATTTTGGTTGTTACTTTTCCCGGGTTTCGAGTTCCCTATATACTTCTCCACCTTACCAACCCCCATCCCGGGTCCGCGGCAGCTTCTGGGGGGAAAACTGGAGGGTTCCTGGGAAAGAAGATAGTAGGTAGGACTGGGTATGGGGTGGCGATCAAACTAGAGGGATCGCATTTCGCAAAAATTTTCCCCAGCACGTGCCCTGCACGAGCGCCTAGGAAAAAAAGAGGAAGTACTCCCTGGAACCACAAAACTCGAGAAAAAAGATGGACTTTTCAACCCAGTCGCCTCCTGTATCATGTTCTTTGTCGATGCTAGAAGCAACGTTGCCCAATCGGGAAAACGGTTCAAGGTGGCGAGGTCCCAAGTGATGCCCACCGCATTCTTGGACGGATTAAGGTGTTGCTGTGACTTACACTAGAAAACCTCATCTTTGTTCAGTTACAGGGTCTGACAGAACTTCATCACAGCTCAGCTATTCTCCCACCTTTATTCTGCCACCCGGAGGGTAAGTTAAGCGCTTCCACTGGTCTGCTATGCACTTAAGCTTTAAAAGGATCTGTTTTCTCAGGCCGCGGTACTACTAGCAGTCGCTATCGATTGCAGTGCGTCGTTGTTCGAGTGTATTTTGTGCTTCGCTCTCGCCATCTTCAACTGTGTTCGAAAGTTATGGTGCTTCACTTCAATAAATATGCCATAATTCTGACTTCTTTGCAAACACGCTCGGTTCAAGACACATAAGCTGTCAGAAGCTTTGTAGATAGCGGGGTTGAAAAACCGGGAGAGGTGTATGTGCCAGCTGAAGAGAAAAAGTAGAGCAAGTGGCCGACATAACCTCACATGATCCCCCTCTTCTTTTTTTCAAGCAGGAGGCGAAAAATCGCTGGGACGGAATGGCGGATTCTGGGTAAGTGCGGACCAAAGAGACTAAGAGAGAGAGGAGAGAAGAGAGAGAGAGAGAGAGAGCCCGAAAGCAAACAAAGTCACAGAGGGCAGCGAATAGCTACCACCAGCGTTCCGAGCGTCCGGCACGTTGGCGACTTGGAAAGTATTAGGTTGGCCCATAAGTAATGGCGTTTTTTGTCACAAAAATTTTTATATGGAAAATGACAATGTTCCCAATATGTTCTACACTGTTTGATAGATAATTTTCCGCACTATAAGATAGTATAATTGCCTTCTTACTATTTCTCGACTTGTGTCGATTTTTATTTCATTGAAAGGGAAATTCGGGTCGACCCAAAAGTGAGTTTTCGACAACTACTTTTTGAATTTTATCTCGGCTCTCAATCTACAGAAGAAGCTCAAACCTTGTGGTATATATGACCAAAGAAAGATGCGTCTTATGACAGCTTGAAGTTGGTTCAAGCGATCAAGAGGTGGGAATTCGGACCTTGTAAAAGAGCATCGCGTAGGGGGCGCTCTTGGGGACAGACTGTCCTGCAAAACCTACCCACTTATTTTTGAACGTATCGGCTGAGGGTGGTGTTTCGTAATGATGAGGAAGCTTCTAAGGTAGTTCCGTAAACTCTCAGTTGGACAGAATAGGGCATTAGTTCGATGCTTGTCTGTGAGGTCGAAACTGAAATCTTCGAATCACTTGAAGTATTATTAGCATTCCTAAGAGACATAGCCTTTTAGCCATATACTTAGCAGCTGGATCCATGCGGTTTTGCTTTTTAATTAGAGGTATAAAAGAGAGGCTGTCGAAAATGCTCAATTTCGTCGACCTGACACTCCAGTTTGAGCACTTAAATATTAGTGGAAAGAGAAACTTGAAGAAAACTAAGAAGACTATCGTGTAGGGCGAGGAATTCTCTGCAAAACGGTATAAAACTTGGCAGAATTTTTCAGTTTTAGCGAGATATTTCGAGTCGGGAAAAAAACGCCATTACTTATGGGCCGATACAACACTTATTGATATAGCGTCTCTCCGCGTCTACAAGCGTGTGCCAGGTCCACCAGCGACCAGCAGCGTTTTGACAACTAGGGAAGTAGGGGTATCGATCTAGCGTCTGCTAGCGTCTACCAGTGTGTACCAGCGTCCACAGCGACCAGCAGCAGACTGTTGATAGGGAGTATGGGGCAATAGAAGGGTACCAGCTTCCAGCTTGTCTGCTTCCCTCCTATCTCCCATACTCTACCAGCTGTCTGCTACCCTCCTATCGCACCATATTCTCTACCAGATGTCAGCTACCCTCCTATCGCTCCATACTCTCCACTCACAGACGCTGCTGGTCGCT